CCGGTTATTTTTCCTGGTTTACTCAAACAGGATTTCAAAGTCTTACGTCGCGGTCTAACCTTTATTAGTCGTGTCTCTTCTGTTCCTATNAGCTATAAAGCTTTCAGAGTATTACGTAACTTCCTGTGTGAACTTTGCTGAGAGAATTCTCACAGATCCTGACCACTCATTGCATGCAGAAATGACACTTTGTCGTTCCCATCATTCAACACGCTCCCAATTTCGTCAAATTTCATCTCGAATTAATGCATACCGCAAATCACCCATACCGTACCTTGCTCGTCTACTCACAAACAAAGAGCGAACAATAAGTGAACTTTGTTTTAACCTTGGATTATGAATGTCCCCATGCCCATGAAAACTTTTCTTCCTGGTGATTATGTAAATTGTGACGGTTAGCGTGTATGATTTTTTAACTGAAATATGAGCTCCAGTGCTTGCAAAAGCTATACACAATACACAACCCGATTGTAACTTGGGATATTGGGTTTTCGTCCTCTCACTTTGATGCGAAAACACCTCCGTCACGAGAAGGCAGTGAGTAGGGCTTCCTCAGCAGAGGCTATTTCAGGTGCTTGGTCGTATGCGAGCATTACGCGAGGTGTAAGGAAATGGTGACCAATCACAATCCCAGACTGAGGTTTCGAAGGTTTGAAAACTACACACACGGATTTGACGGTCAGATCCGTGTATGTGCGGATGACTAAACCACATGACGAGAGCAACATTCATAACATGATCATTGGTATCCCTAACAAAGTGATCGCGGTTGAAACGAACGCATACGGCTAGAATAGTCATAGTTTCAGTTTTTGCAACCTGTAATCCTGCACTTTTGTGCGACGGTTTTCGTTGTCCATTTTGAAAGTTGAAAGCCGAATCGAAAAGAAAATGGAAAATTTCAATAAACTCAGTGGGAAAGAAACTGCGACGATGCATGACGGCCGCTGTTTACGACACTCAGTGACCGTAACCATTGATAACAACGATCCCGAGGTCCTTATGTCTGCGGGTTGGGGTTTTCATACCCTCATGCCAGATCTTAGTTTGATAATCCTTGACTTTTTCCACCCACCATATGCCTTGGCAAACATCGCTCACCGTGGCAATCTACTTAGTGACATGCGCAACGTGTGCCTTAACCAACGTCATCGATGAAGGTCGACCAGTTACTCCACTGAACAGCAGCTCTGTGCCTCTAGCATTACTCGTTTGGTTGCCGCACCAGATTCATGTAATGAGACGTAGACAAAGGTGTTCCAACACCAACAATCTATATTTATCCTGCTTTTGTAGTGGTCAAGTTTCTGGGCCCTATAGCAGAACCGATCCAAAGACTGTAGCATACACTCGACCCTTCACGGACAGCGGGATGTCGCGACAGTGCCACAAATGTAATTTGGCAAATGCCAACCGAGTTTCCTGTATGATGATTCCAAAAGTTCCCCAAGATGCATTTACGCAAGCTTAACAGCACTTTTTAATTTTCACTCTCATTTGGGACATCTCAAAGTACCAACTGACCCAATTTGCAGTCGTTCGTGAACAACACGCAATGAAACCAGTCGCCAAACCTAGACAGGACAATCCTACTGGTTTGCATATACATTGTTTGGAAAACCATTTTTATAAAGAAAGCAAAATCGGTTAATTGTCATACCTGCGGATGGTGTTGGGAGCGGTTTGTATGGAAGCCGATAAAACCAAACCAATTAGAGATCACGCGTACTCTTCCCAAAGGTTGCGATCCGGTATTGGTGAGTGATAAGGTTAACGAGAACACTTCACCTTGCATTAATTTGACAGGGAAATCGCTAAATGCAACCTGGAAAAGAAAAATAGTTCGAAGCCTCAGCAAGAGATGAAAAGTGAAGCGACAGCGCATTATTCAATAACTTTATGGTGAAAAACATGCCAAAAATTCGAAGCCAGCTGTATGAGAATTCGAAAGGATTTTTCATTCAACTGGATATCACGGACGATTCGCTTTCCGGTTTTTCGTACACGGCAGTCGCTTTTTCGAAAGCTTAGAAAAATTACTACTATTCTGTACATATATACCAGATGTGTACAATAAATGGCCACAATACTTTAAATCTCAGGCGGAAACACGAAACTGTGTTGATAAACGGTGTTCCCATTCGTATGTGGGGAGCCAGTTGAGGTCTGTATTGTGCTCCACGTAAGATCAACGAATTTACGTTAATGAATGCATGGCTAGTTCGTTCCAAACACCGACATAGA